CAATAAGGTGAAGTGCCTGGTCCTGCACTTTGGACACAACAGCCCCATGCAGTACTACAGGCTGGGGGAAGAGTGGCTCGAGAGTTGTTCATCAGAAAGGGACTTGGGAGTGCTGGTGAACAGCAGCTCAATATGAGCCAACAGTGTGCACAGGTGGCCAAGAAGGCCAATGGCATCTCGGCCTGTATCAAGAATAGTGTGGCCAGCAGGACTAGAGCAGTGATCATCCTGCTGTACTTGGCATTGGTGAGGCCACACCTCGAGCACTGTGTTCAGTTTTGGGCCCTTCACTTTAAAAAGGACATTGAGGCTCTGGAGCCAAAGGCAGCAATGCTCATAAAGAGTCTGGAAAACATGTATGAGGAGGAGCTGAGGGAATTGACTTTGTTTAGCCTCAAGAACAGGCAGCTCAGGGGTGACTTCATCACTCTCTAAAACTACCGGAAAGGTGGTTGTAGAGAGGTGGGGGATGATGTCTTCTGCCATGCCTGCAGTGAGAAGACTAGAGGGAATGGTCATAAACTGAGATGGGAGATTAAGATTAGATGTTAGGAAAATTTTTTCACTGTTAGGGTGGTCAGGCACTGGAATAGGTTACCAGGGAGGTGGTGGAGTCACCATCCCTGAAAGTGCTTAAGAGGTGTCTGGATCTGATGCTTTTGGGGTTACAGCGGAGAGGCAGGCTAATTGTTGAACTCGATGATATTACAGGTCTCCTCCAAGCTTTATGATTCTAATCACATTTTGAAGATAATTTAAGTTGGAAATTGTCAAAGTTCAAAAGAAGCTCTTCTTACATGCTCGTAATCGTAATTGCTGAGGTGTTTGTATTTTCCTGTAAAGTATCTAGCATTCATCGTTGTCAAATATAGGGCACTAAGATATTAAACTGTTGTTCTGAAACTAATTCCTATGTTTCTAACCATTGTACCCTCCCAAGATCAGAGTCCAAGACTGAATCAGTCTTCAGTGTCTTACAGAACTTGTTACAGGAATTTTTTGATGAAAAATATAAATACACCATTTAAAATACATGGTATATTAAATAAGGAACAAAATATGATAGACTTTCTATCCAAAATAGCATTAAGTGTCTGATCAAATCTGTACACACAGATGTTTTTATTTTTTTGTTAATTGTTAAAACTGTATTTCTTTTAGACAGTTGACAGGCCGAAGGATTGGTACAAGACAATGTTCAAGCAAATCCATATGGTTCATAAGCCTGGTGAGTATGGTTTTGTCTTGGCTGGGTTGTTTTTAGTCATATTAAAACATGCAATTTTCTGCATTTTGATTGTCTGCTATGTGAAAATACAAGAGTTCACTAAGTGTCAGACAATGAATCAAATCAAATGCATAAATTCAATGATAGATTTTACTGCAGAGAGAGCTATTTTCCCCTGATATGGGCTGAAATTTTCTATTGGGTTTATTTTATTAATGAAACTAAGTAAAAATTAAAGTTATTAGGATAGGTATGCAGTCAGCATGATTCCATGTCACTGGGGAGATTCAGTGAAATGATGCTCATGTCCAGGTTGAGGGATGAAAAACTGGCCACTGTAAATCTCCTGCTGTAACAGCTTTCTTTTAGAGAGCTCAAGTGCTAGAACAGCATGGGCCAGTAAACAGGCTGGTTTGAGCATAAGTTTTGCCCCTGAATTGCATTGTGTTCATAGAATATCTTACTTGGTTTTTTAAAATGGAGCTTTGGTGACATCGCTAGCTTTAGAATTAATGTCCTTTATCATGATTGTCACCAAGTATGTCAAGAAACTGTATAAATGGCAATTATGCTCATTACACCTCCAGAAGGAAGGAGACTTTATTCATCTGAGCTAGAGCTTACATTCAGTATGGTCACACAGAATGTTAGTGGGAGAGTAAGAAATGTAGGCTGGAAAACTTTAGCTTTCAAGATCTATTTTGAATGCTAGTCACGTAGTAGATATTTGGGATTGCTTTTTGTGGTAGGAACAACAACTTAACAGTCTCTAGCAGAGGAAAGCTGACAAAAGGAGCAAATGGAGCTTGGGGAAGGGAAAAGAACAGACAAAAAGCTATAATTTGCAATTTGGTGCTAACTAGTAAGTACACAGTACAGGTGACATGACCCAAAGATGCCATTTTAACAAGATAGTAAAAACAGTGTATGGTAAGTACACTCAGAAGAGAGAGTCTTCCAAAACTACCTGTGAGATGAGGAAAAGAAATATGGTGCTTGATTGCCTACCAGAGTTCTGTTTGTATTTGCAAAAACAAAGCTGCATTTCTGTGATGAACTGGCATGTCTGGCACTCCTGTAACATGTATATTTCTTTTTGTAGATGACGACACAGACTTTTATAATACTGCATATGCATACGGTACTGGTAGGAATTATTCCCTATTCAAAATGAGTCTTTTGTCAATGTCAGCAAGTAATGGGGTAGTTAACTCTTCATGCTTGCTTTCATAATGCTTATAGACACACTTTTTATCGTCTTGTTTGATCTCAGTTGCTCATGCCTTTGTTTCCCAAATGAAACAAATTTAATTTTGGTTGCTTTCTTACCACAGAAATGAATTGCAGCTGTGGGCCTCTTACTGCAGATGGTACACTGTAATACTGTAGTTTCTTGATTACATTGCATTTATTTTCACTAGTGATTGTGAGCAGCCTTTCCTTATGAAAATGGAAAGGGAAGCTGTGTGAAAATATAAACGCTAATTACCAAGATGGTAAGACAAAAAGGGAGTATTGGAAACACCTTAAAAATATGCAGTAAGATTGCCTAATAAATATTATTCTGTTTTATGATCTTGTCCATTTTTGCTGTAGGCGCTGTCATTGATGTTACTTAGCTGCAAGAAAAGACATATTCATCTAAGATATATAATCATTATGTCTTTCAGAAGATCATAGCCATGTGGTAAACTTATTTGAAAAAAAAGAAAAAACATGAATAGACTATGTGCAAAAAAACCCACAGTGCCTTGTGCAAGAATGCCATTCAAAATTCTTCCATTTCAGTTTTCATTGCATTCAACATGCTCTCAGTACAGCCTTCTTCTGTGCTATTGAGAGCATTTGTTGTGGGTCAGAGCGGTCATATCTTTGTAGTCTTGTGATCCTCTTCAAGATATGCTCTCGCCTCATTGTCGTGGACTAAATAATTATTAAAACAATGAAAAAAGATGTGTTTTCTGCCTCTTCTCTTCCTTCTCATCATGGAACAACTGAGCAACAGGATGAGCCTAGGGAATAATGAAAGGCTGTCATTAACAGCTCTGATGGATATATATACACCCATTAACTTCTCACCAGTCAAATTATAATGAATTTATTTTAACTATACTGCACTTTATCTGTTTGTAGTTTTATATAGAAACACATACAAAATTTTCTAAGGAGCTACACAGTACACAGCAATGTACTTTTAAAGGTGCATTTACACATTTCTATAACCTTGCAGCTTTATTGAGTTACTGTGGGTTCTTGTAGCATTCCCTGTTATGTTTTATTAAAACTCATTCTCATGCTATGACTATTTCTGGTTTTGTTTTGTATTAGGTAGCTACAGTCCATCCTTCTCTGCTCAGGCACATCCAGCTGCAAAGACACAGACATACAGACCGTTGTCTAAAAGTGCTTCTGACAGTAGCTCTGATGCCTTTAAGGTCTCGTCCCCTTTACCACCCCACGTGCCACCTCCAGTACCACCACATCGTCTGAGGGAAAGGTCTACACCAGAAAAGTAAGCATATTTTCAAAATCTCTCCTTGGTACATACAGTATTCCAATTGTTGAATGTAACAAAGGATAAAATGCCAACTATAAAATAATACGACTTCAAGGACTTTATTTAGGGAGCACTCGGGTGATGAAAGGTAATCTTCACCAGTAGTCTGGGCATGCTGTAATTTCTTTGATGTGCTAAAGAAGTGTTTGTTCTTACAAGTGGTATGACCATGAGAATTTTCATTCTCATTAGTGAGATTGTCCTGCTTGTTGTGTTTCAGAACAGTCCGTACTCTAGCAGCTGTCTTCAATAGTTAGTCTCTGAGTAGGAAAGGCCATTTATTGGATCAAGCAGCAAAGAAAAAGGATCAAAAGATGATGTAAATTGAAATTCAAGGAAGAGCCTTACAATGTAGCAGTCAATCCATGTTTCCCCAGATCTCAGAAGTGTTTTATATCCCCATTTCAATCTCCATCTCCATTTTGGTAAACCAAGACAGTGTGTACTGATTAAAGGGGCATTTGAGATATTTCATGGTTTTCCAGCTTCAAATTTGCTGCACAAAACCAGATCCCAGTGGTTAGAGCCCAGTCTGGAAAAGGTTAATAATTAATAACTCATGAAAAAAGTGCTTAGCCTTTCGGTAAAACCATACAAGTGATCTCCCACGGACTTTATAGACTTCTGCATATCTGTAGGTACTATCTCAAGCAAAACCCTTTTTCTTTAGTGTTATTATAATAATATTGTGTTATAATATTAATAATATGTTATTATACATTTATCTGTGTGTGTATGTATGTATAAATATTTTATATATTAAAAGGGTAATTTTTTTCTTTCATTTGAGCCTATAAGACCACCTCTCTTGGTTATGCTCAAGCAACAAAGCAGAATTTGACCATTTTTGTCATCTTGGATGTTGTAAACATATCTATATGTAGAAATTTCATTATGTGAAAGAGTTTCAAATAATTAGCAGTTTGAATAAAATGTTATGAGGAAAGACCATACTAAGTGTTTAAATTAAGACTATGACTATGGCTTTTTGAAAAACATTTAGGTAGTGGCAGTCCAAAATGTGATCTTGCAGATACACATATTGCAGAGGAAGATGAGATTTCTTGATGGTTTGGCTACCCTGTCGCTGAGGGCAGGGTGGAAATGCTGGAGGTTAGAGTTGGACTGTCTCTCAAAGGCCATGAGGTTTGAATTTTGCTAGCAGGTCATACAGAAGTGTAGATTTTGTTAACAAGGCACCAAAATATGGATCTGCTTAGCTTTTCTATCTGAAGTTATGTGAGTCATCCTCCTGTGCTAGGCCAAATGCCTTCGTCACAGAAACTGAGGCCTGTTAGAGTTCCTTTTGTCAAGCTTGAAAATAACTGCTTCAGCACTGAATTTGGCTGTTTAGCCTCCCCTTTTAATCCCCTCTATGATAAGACATGCAGTAGAAATGTGTGTTCTCCAGGCCAGGGGATGCCAAACATATTAGTTATGCTTTGCCCACTGCTGAAAGCTACAGCTCCTCATTCTTTTCCTGCCATTGGCAGATTCTTTTTTTAATTGCCTATAAAGCCTGAGTATTTAAAATCTCACATAAGAGGCTTAGGTCCACATGTATCACAGCTCCATAGCTGGGAGGCAAGATATGGTTTGCATTAACAGTTGGGCTCAAAAATATAGTCCATACAGGATTACAGGCTGAACACTGTAAATTAGGTGATCTGAGTGTGAATCAGAATTTGAGAATTATACCTGCAGTATAATGCAACTTGATTAGAATGTTTCCATTTTCCTGTTCATTCTCAAAAAATACAACCTTTTCCACTTTTAAACTAGTTTTTTCCTCAGTGAAAGTAAACATCAGAGGCACATCCTTTGAAATTTAGACCGTTTCATAGATTGAGTTATCTGTGTCCCAGAAGTTGCACTTGCAGGCTTACCATAAACAAAAGCTACCTCACAGAGTTTTTTTTAGGCCACAGGACATGTGCCTGATAAAATTGATAAAATTTAATCAGTGTGTAAATACAGAAAATAGCTGGTAGTATTTTCCCTTTCCTTTCCTCCATGCCTTGCATTACTAGTGTCATTTTACACAGAGCTAAATAAAAATATATGTGAGCTACAGTTTTCCAAATGCAATGTACGTAGGTACTACCAAAACTGCCATGAAAATGTAGTTCTCACTGTAACTAGAGAGCTATTCCCCAAAAATGTATAGTTAGCTAGTAATAGAACATGGTAAATAACTGGAAAAAAAAATGGTACTATGAGTTCATTTTTATTCTTTACCTAGCACCATTAAATTTAAAATGGATACATTTCTGTTCCAAAGTCAACTGCCAGATTCTTCCTCCTGTTTATCTACTCAAGTTTCCAGGGAAACAATATACTGCTTACAAGGATATTCAGGAGCACATCTACAACAGATAAGGATAACAAGCATCTCTTAGATTTTCACAGTGTCCTTTAAAATAATTCCTCATCTCTTGCTGGAAAATTTTATAACTTTTTCTGTATGGACTTATTATCATATTATGTGATGACAGAAATATCTACCACATGCCTATCTTAGTATTGTGCACGAAACAAGTATAGTTATTTGCAGTGGTATGCAATGCCATGGCATTTTGACACAGTGTGTCAAGGAAGTATTTAAACTGATCTACTAGTTATAACAGAAGTATGAGTGATCATGCAGGCTGGACATCCCTAGTATGAAAAATGCTGTACTGAGTATATCTACTGTAAACAGGTTAAGATGATACGGTGGTTAAAACATTGGGATGCTAGGCTAGACATTTCACAACTGAAAGCTGGAAAGGGAAACCATTCTGAACCTGATTTGGTTTTGCAGGTTTCTCTTGCACAGAGCTGTAAAGCAGATGGTCATTAAATTGGCTCAATTGCTTGTGTTTGTTATTTAGAAATGACTGGGATCCTCCTGACAGAAAAGTAGATACTCGCAAGTTCCGTTCTGAACCAAGAAGTATATTTGAATATGAGCCGGGAAAGTCTTCAATCCTTGAACATGAAAGACCGGTAAGACACATCAATCCAATGGGTAATGCAGTAGAGATTTGTTGAGAGGTTATCTTTTTATTATTTACAACTAATAATAACTACTTAGAGGAATACTGAAGGTCCTTTTTCAAATACAGTTTTGCAACAATTTGTCTTTGCTATTATCTTATGGCTGTATTGAAAATATGGGTTAGATCTTCTGGTGTTTCCAAGAAATCAAACCAACCACTGTGCAAACCTCATGGATGATGAGCTGAACAGTAAATTAATGGAAACTGCATTTCCTAGTTGGTATGCATCATCAGCAATCATTTTCAGTAGTATTAACAGCACATATGATGTCCAGTTATTTAATGCATAAAAATGCACTTCGCATTTTCGGGATGTGCCTAATTGTACACCAAAGGAGATTTTGTCAACTCCTGGTCTAGGTTGCCGGAGGGGACTTATCTGAACACAGTCCTTAGCAACCTGACCTGATTAGACCTACTTTTTAGCAGGAGATTGAGCTAGATGACCTCTGGAGGTCCTTTGCAGCCTCAGTTACTCTGTGATTACTAAGTGTATGTTAATTCGTAGTTAGAAGTCTTTATTCCTGCTTTCTGAATAATTATTGCAATTCTGGAATTTTTCACAAACATGTCTGATAAAGCTATGCTTAATGCATGCACACAATAGAAGTTTTCATTTGCTGAAAGACACATTCACTTAGCTCTTCTAATTTACATTTCTGCCATCATAATACTTCCTTAGTTTAGGAAAGCTGTTACATATCAATGGCAATATTTTCTTTTCTGGTCTTTTCCTTTGATGTTGAAATGGTTGGGGGAGTCCAGATTTAAAGAAGGGGGTTATGTAATCAGTACTGGGTTGTTATTTTTGCTTCAATATCGCATGCTTGTTCACAGAATTAATTTTACTAATTTAAAATAAATTAAGGAATTTCATAATATGTAATATGTCAACAGTGTGAAACACCTATACAAAACACCTTTTCCTTTGTTTTTGTGGTCTTTGCAGTAATATAATTTTTGTTAACTAGACAACACTAAGTTCTGTGTGAAATTAAGTTCTTGCAAAACTGATGCATTTTTCAAAGAGGAAATTGCCATTTCTGTAGGAACTGCTAATAAATCAATATAATTAAATGTATTTATTGTGCAGATGAACCTGACAAATAATTTTATTTAAAAGGCAGAGGCATTTGTTCTAAGCACTTTTCAAGCATCATGGCTGCATTATACACACTGAGGTAATTTTCCAGCCTACCCAATGCCAAAGAGTAACAGCAGATTCAAGTTAAAAATAGGAAAATTACACTGATGTTTCAAGAATGACCTCACTTTTCTAATAAACTAATTTTCTACTAATGTAGTGTGAACAAAATAACTCATCTAGGAATTGCAGTGCTGATGAATATCATCAGAGCTACATTTTTTTCAATTCTAGCAAACTAATGAAATAACAAAAAAATGAGCTTTGGTGAGCTTTGCTGACTGTTCCTGAATCTTCTTCTAACTTCCTCAAGCATTTTATTTTTGATAATCTAAATCAAAATGTTGGATTTTGAGCTGTGTTTGGTCCTCAAAATATTTTAATGCAGAAAACATTGCCATTTCTTCTACTAATGCTGACAAGGTGATACATAAGTTGTTCAGGTGTATGTTTCCATCTCCAATGTCTGCAATTCAATAAATGTTCTTCCTTTGCTCCAATATCAGCCAAACCATGGATTTGTTGCCTAAAATGAATGGTTACTTTCCATGAATAAGTAAATGGTGTAATAACTAGATCTTACTCATACGAACATGAAGTTAAATTCTGTTTGCTAGTTTCTACCTTGCATATGAGAAATAATTCCCTCATACATATACATTTCTCTATTTTTGCACTAGAGCATGTAAGGAAAAATCATAGTGTTGCTGTAAAGAAAGGCTTTGTAAAATTGGTACAAGCAATAGATGCCTCTGTTTTCATTAGGTGTTTTAGTCTAAGTATAAAAGTGCACTTGTGCCAGTCAGATAAACTGTGAGGTTAAATTTTAGTTCTAGTTTTTTTGTCTCTGTTGAGTATACAATTTTTCTAGTCACTTTATATGCAAGAGGAATTAATGAACAGAATAAATTTAAAAAGCTTTGTTTAAATTTAAATGCACACTTTTGATTATTACCTGTGAATGTCTACTTGTGCATATCAAATCAGGCACAGGCAAAGCTACATGTAGCACTACAGATGTCAGTTTTTTCAATGTCTGTGTTCTTCTGTACTTGAGTATGGTGATACAGTGCTGTGTTGATGCAAGTGGCAAAAGGAGTTAAGTTACTTATTGGTCTTTAGTAGTATATTTTTAACAAGTAATCAAAATACTATGAAACTACTAGATAAGAATAGTGTAGGAACAGAACTTGGTTTGACTGACAAGTCATAAAAATGGATTTTACTTTATTGCCTCTACCTTCTACTCAAGTAGTTTGGAAGACACTTTGTCAGACCAAGCCAAGTGCAGTTTTTTAAGTCAAAATCATTTGTTCATTTTAAGTCTCTTACAAGGGGAGATAATAGAAGAAGGTCCATCAGCAAAACTGAATCCAAAAGCCAACTGAAGTCAATTGCTGTGTATTGATCTTGGTAGCACAGAGAATGCAGAGCCTTCTCCAGAACGGCCCAGCAGCAGGGAATTTGCAGACTTGAGTGCTCAGTTTCTTTTTGTTTGCTGCCCTCTGCGGTTTAAACTGTAAATTAAAGTAGGACTCATGTGCATGGAGTTAGCCTTACACATGTTCTTACAGTCTCATTTCATTTGCAGACTACTACATGAGGAGAGCTCAAAAACATAGAAGTTATTTCTAGCTATTTCTTTCACCAGCAAAAATGCAAGGGGTTTTAAGCTTGCAGCTAATTGCAAGAACATTTGAAAATGTAAGGGAAGCCAACTCCCATTCTCGTTTTTAGCTCCCTGACTAGCTGGGTGGAAGCCCAACTGATCTGACAGTGTGTTCTGCCTCTCTGCAAGGAGGGACACCAGTCCATCAATGTGTAGGTGTGGGGCTGCTGCTCTTCAGGGCACCTTGAAGCTCGCAAGGCTAATGCTCATTACCCAAGCAAGTAATGTCAGTAGTCCTGGATTTGTAGTGCTCCACTAAAAGCTCCACAATTTCAACATCATACCCATTCTGAGGGTTTGATTGATTTATTTTATGAGGATACACTCAACTGTCGATATTAACATTTCTGTGAAAATTAATTCTTTGGTGGAATATAAAGATAAAAACAGAATCATGGAATCATAGAATGTTAAGGGGTTGAAATGGACCTTAAAGATCATCTAGTCGCAACTCTCACTGCCATGAGCAGGGACACCTCCCATTAGACCAAGTTGCTCAAGGCCTTATCCAGCCTGGCTTTGATCACTGTCAGGATTGGAGCATCCGCAACCTCCCTGGGCAACCTGTTCCAGTGTCTCACTACCCTCACAGGAGAAAAATTTCACCTAATATCTAGTCTAAATTTCCCCCCTTTCGATTTGTACCATTGCTGTATTTCAGTGTACTGCAACTTAGTTTGGAAAAAGAATGAAAAATAATTGTTTAATACTGTCTTCTGAGATTATCCAGATCTAAATTGTGGGATTCTTTTAAGCTAAGCAAAAAACCTCTAAATATGCCAAGCATTCTCTGTAATGGGAGTCAAGTTGATATATACCAGTTGTCTTCTGCATTGTGAAACTGTAATTTTTTTGCCTTCATATCTCTGTAGAAGAGAATTGTGGTTTTTCTTAAATTAATCATAGTCTCTAATAAATTCACAAAATTTTAGTGGTCAGTTCAAGAAACTAATTTCAGTGATGTTTCTCTACTAAAGATTTGGGTATCTGTAGTTGAGTTCAAACAGTTGTCATTAGTGCTACGGAGTTACAGCTGTGGATGGTGGAAATCTATGGGCAAAACTCGAAAGCAGCTTCACTTCCTAACCCTGCTGTGGAGCACAGCAAGTTGTTCATCAGTGACATTCACTTCCCACTTCATTCACAAGAATGCAACTTCCCTTACTTGAAAAGAGCATTGTGAATATAAGTGTATAAAATGACAGTTGGGGTCCAGATATTGAATGAACAGCACACAGATATGTGAGCAGCAAGGTAGTTCTAAAGGGTTGTTGACCTTTCAATAGAGCAGAGTTGGCAGTAGTCAACTGTCCCAGTAACATCAAAGGCAGCAAGAAAAGTGCTGTAAGATGTTTAATTACTTGAAATGGTCAAGAGCACAATGTTATCTCTTGCTGAAAACAGAAATAGCTGTATGTGATTGCTCTGGTGTATTGGTGACAGCTTGACTCTGGAGGAAGAAGTCTTACATACTTGATCACCAGTATCATTCTCTTTGCAGGACCCTCTCTTCTTCTTTGACAATTGCTTTCTAGGTCACACCATAATTAGTGTCTAAGTTTTGATAATTACAGTTATGGAGAACCAAATTTTAAATTCAGAAATGTCTTTAACAGGAGGTTTTCTCCATTGCAGGGATCTTTAAACCAACAGTTCACTGTAATTCTGTGCTGCGTGAAAGCCTACATCAGATCCTACAAAGGAGCTGGAACTATTTAGAAAGTAATTAATGCAGCCAAGTTTACAGTTGATTAGATATCCCATTGAGAGCTGTACTGTTTTGCACTGTCATGTTTTCATGCTACTTGAATAAATCTGTCAATTATTCTTCTGTTCATTGAAGAATTTTCTTAATGCTATCTTCAGTTGCTACTTTATCCCTTTCCTGTGAGAATTTTCAGACAAAAACAATGTATTTCACTGTGGAAAAGAATGCTTCATTATACCAACAAGGCTATGGGGAGACAAAGCATGACACAGTACTACTGAAAAAAATATTGTGGAATGCATAATTTTTTTGTTCCCTTTGTTTTGACCATAGAATTTAAAATATACCAGTTCGATTTCATATGCTGAAGTGGCTTTTTAACATTATGATGCTTACATGATGCATATTCCTTATCTCTGCTCAGCACTTGCTTCAAGGCAGCAAGATCCAGAGCTAACATGCTTTGTGAGAAGACAAGGAATGGCCAAAAGTAATGCTGATAAAGTTGTGTCTTTATTGCTGCTGGGATGGGCGATTTCTTGCCTATGCTGGAGATGACAATCATTTAAACCATCTTCTTAACAAGGAATCTTTAGTAGCATTAAACGTACTTAACTAATGCAGTGATGTTTAAATAAGAGGTCAAAGAGACCTTTTAGCTTTAAAAGTGTAATTTTAAAATGTTCAACATATTCCAGTCCTTGGAAGAACAGCAACAAAAAGAAAAGTATTAAAGCTACCAGTCAATGACAGCTCTTGAACGAGAATATTCTCTGTCTTAAATGCCATCTTCATTCTTTGATTTTATTCCATTTCTTTCCCCATATTTGTTCTGTGTTTGTGTGTGTTTGTTGTTAATGACGTGGCATTTCTAGCACTTTGCTCAGTGTGTGCCTTTTCCTTCCCTTTTCCTTCACAACTGCACCAGACTGATCGCATAAACCCAGATGACATAGATTTAGAAAACGAACCCTGGTATAAATTCTTTTCAGAGCTGGAGTTTGGACGTCCGGTAAGTGAGGGCAGAATATTAATGTTTACACATTAGGCAAAAAAATAGTTTTAGAATGAGGAATTTAAATTACCGAGTTCAGCAAATATATGCCAGTAAAATTAATATGAGGTTGTTTTAGAGAACGGTCAATGGTCATCCCATGCATATAACTAGTTTTTTCAAATAGACTCTTAACTTGCCAGAGTAGTGACTTTAATAGCTTTAGTATGGAGTATGTATCAGACATATAGTAATGTGTAAATATTTAATAAGACAAATAGCATGATAAACAGGGATGTTTTTTAGTCTTCCTAAATCTTTTGTATTTGGCTGTATTATTTTTGAGCAATCTTTTAGAACAGAAAAACATGTCAGGTTGCATTAGGGATGCTAAGTTACAAATTATGTATTTTACTTGAAGAAATATATCTAAATTTAAATGCATGAAGCCATATACAAATTTCTTATAGCAGTAAACAGTGAGATATTTTTCCCTTTTTTCATCTCTTTGATGCATACATGCAGAGTACATCTTTTTTACCTGAACAGAGAGATAGAAGTTTGCTCTGCTTTCAGGCTGGGCACCTGCTTGAACCCACAGACTTCAGTTCTGCTCCAATTTTCACAAATAGCCACTACCAAGTAAAGGATTCAGGCAAACAGATGCTGCCTTAGTCCTGCTGCAATCATTTATGTTTAAAATTATAAAGATGGAGAATTCCATCTGTTTGAAACACATTAACATCAGAGATACCTCCATTTTTCACCTTTGGTTGCCTAGGCACTTGCAATTCTTCTGTGAATACCACAGGCTTAATTGGATCTAAGCACCAAAGGCTGTTTGTTTACTTTTTACAAGAGTAAAACAGTAATACTGTCCTCGAAGGAAGACTGAGAACTAGGTTTCACATCCTCCCTGCACAGTGCCTTAACAACTGAGGAGATGCACTTGCTCTTGCTTTTGCACACACCCTCTCTGGCTCCACAGAGCTCAAATTCTTTCCTGTGCACTCTAACATCTTTAGGAAAAAGGATAGCAAATGTTTTCATCCCAGAAGAATGTCTAAGAGGATGGTTAGAGTATCCAGATAAGTGGAAGACAGGAGTTCAAAGCCCCTCAGAAAAAGGAGGGATCTCCTAAGCCTAGTTAAGTATTCTCATAGTTCCCCAGGATTCTCCCAAGGAGTTTTTGAGTTAAAAACCAAAAGCACCTGCCCACAGGCAGGAAATCCCAAATGGACATGACTTACGAGCTTGAGAGTATCAGAATATAAATATATTTCCATTCTTTTCTTTCCCTGTTAGCTAGCAATTCTCTGGAGGCTCCTCAGCAGTCTAATTAGTGACATGCTGGGCTACATGAGGAGCCTGAGCATTTGACATGGGGCACTGGAGGGCACTCTGGAACCAGGTACCTTAGTCCCTGTTTGTAGCTAGTCTTAAGCCAAAATCAGAACTCCCAGCTACTTCAGTGAGAGCAGAAGAGAAAGCAAGCCACATACGCTCTTTGAAAACTTTAATTTTTAATCATAACATTTCAAAAAAATTACCCATTGAATACCAGCTGAAATTTTTTTACAAAAATGTTAAATAGGTCTGGGTTTAATTTCAGTAGTTTATAATGTGTCACATTTTCACCAATTATCTTGTATCTCCTTTTATCCAGCCATTCAAACCATATTGTCATTCCTCCCTCTATGTGGACAAAACCAGTCCAGATACATTCTTCTGATGAACAGTATTTTACTGATAATGATAACCTTTAAGACAAAATGTATTGAGATTTCTCCAGCAGAATGTAACTTTGTTGCTTTACACTCTTCAGTCTCATCAGTGTTAAAAACTGCTGGTATTTATTCAACCGTTCCAGTTGTAAATTTGACCACCTAAAGTTACTAACATTTTATTAAGATAATTAAAAAATATAGCACATTCATCCTTCCATTCTACCTCTGTGTGTCACTCTTTGTATCTGATGCTGTCAACACTTAGTTTCTAACTGTGTCACCTTTTCCACATGTTTCATTCCTTGCTGCCATTGATTCTACTCCATTTCATCTCTACACTTCTGCTTTTATGATGCAGCCACCTAAAAAGATTTTGGACTATTTTCAAGACAGTTCTCCTGGTGTTTCCAATGAGGTAAATGAATGATTCTTTTTCAGATGATTCCCTTGGGAAGAAGGGTTGGAGTGTCTTAAGTTTGTTAAAACTTAGTGGTTTCCTTCTGATAGCTATGAGACATTTCTAATTCACAATCACTGTATCTTTGTTTTCATATCTTTCCAGATCATTAGTGCATTTGGATGTTGATCTTATTATCCTAGGAACTGTGAGTCCCCAAAACTTCTCAGAGATTAACACTCCGAATTACACAGCAGTCCATACGTCTCTAACTCTTTGACAAATTCCCACTTTCCAGAGTTGGGCAAGTGCATTGCACAATTAATCCATCAGCATGGTAGTATTTTTAAATTAAAATATCTGACTGCAAATTCAGTATGTCAAGTGAAAGCCTTTGTGGCTAAGCTATCATTTCTCCAATTAAGTATTTATTACTAAGGTTGTTAATAAGGTAAAATAGCAGTGAATAATCCTGTTGTAATTTATAACTACAGGATTGACAGTCACTGTCATTCCAAATAAAATTCATCAAGATCAGGTAGTGGGCTGTCATTGCCCTACTCTGAGTGGGAGAGATTCAGGCTTTCATTCCTTCACCACTTCCTCCCCATTTTTACAGTGTTAGGGCAAAAGTCAGTGGATTCTGTAATGATAATTTTGCTTCATATGGTGACTTGACTTCATTTGTATTCATGATTCACTCTCATCTTCCAAGTTAAATCATGGACTTAAATTGTGAATTGTTTGCAAATTACTCTGGTTTGGTTTTAAGCTTTATATATATATGGAAAAACCTCATGGCTGTGAAATTTGGGCCCAGTTCTTTGAGACAATAAGCTTCTAGGCCTTTGCTAATTATTGTTAGTTCTCTATATATGAAGAAGGACAATATAAAAGCCCTAACATGACTGTCTGAAATATTCCCATGTTCAGTAGGTCTGAGTAAAATTACTATTAAGTAATACTGGTTTTCTCTTTGATTAATTTATAAAAACTTGTATCTTTAATTTTGAAACTTTTAAAATGTTTTAATATGATAAATCATGTTAAAAAACTAGAGCAACTTAGAATTTCTCCAGGGGGAGTATTCAAAATGACTTGATAAAGTATTAGAACCATGATGCAAACAAGCATGGTTCTTATTTACAACCTTACCCTGCTTTCCTGACTTCATTTTCAGTCACCATTAAAGCCCTGATGCATAAAACCAGCTAAAATATTATCCTTATTGTAAACATATATCTCATTTTTTTAGTAAAACCAAATCAAAGTATTCAAAAAAGGTTGTACTTGGTAGTTTGGAGTTGTCATCTGCAATATTTAATTATTTTTGTCAGATAGCTTTGATTAATATGGGGGCGTTGAATATTCTGGAAGATTACTAATTAGCTTTGAAGATGGGGGAGTGAGGGAGATGTGTTCAGTTGGGCCCCCTGGAAGTGGCTTGGGGAAACATGGGTCAATAAATGCACAAGAGCTGATAGGACAGCTACAAACAATGGTACCCACTCTTGGCAGTAAAAAACAACCATATCCACTCTTTACTTTCCCCTTTCCCATATATACCATGTCAGTGCAGCTCTACCTGTGGGTAGAAGGTATAAACTCTACACAGTCTAGAAACAATAACATGTGTCTGTGGTGAAGATTAGTATTGTAGAATGGGCGACAAACTGTATCTTTCATGTGGAAAAGACTTCAAAGGTGGCATCAAAGAAAGGGAAAAGGGCGAGTTACATTCAAAGTGATAAGAGAACCTTAAAGGATGACAAGCAAGAGCCATATAGTAACTCAACAGTGAGTTTTGGCATGACATACACTTCTTGCTGTCTTATGCTGATCACTAACACACTATTTATGGCCTGGGGAATGCTGTGGATAAAGAAGTTCTCTCTGGTGTGGTTGCCATTGTGTGATTTTGTGTGATTTATGCATTGCCTTCCATAGGAGACAGTGAGGATCTGCTCCATTCTTGGGAATTACATCTTGTGTAGCCCTGGAGCCACTACAAGTGGTGGAAAGTAATCACTGCCTATGGGTGTTTGGGTACTATCATGTCACAGATGGTCTCTAGTGGAAGTGGTTGGCACCTACAGGAAAGAAAACCCACAATGACAATTCATCTGCAATGTTTATGTCACCTTGTGCAACAGTTCTAACAGAGATCACCTGTGAGCCTGAGTTTCCTCCTTCTGCTGGTTCCAGACGATAGTGGTCACTGGTCAACATGAAGAACATAGCTATGTCCGTTTTTGACATGAGGCTGACATTTTCCAGGCTCAGTGTGTATTTTGTGGGTGGCCTAGGGAACCACACAGACCTGAGGCCTTCGCTCCATCGCATAGAAATGTGAGGAGAACTGTGGTTACACTAGCTGTTGGTGTGAGCAACTCTGCAGTTGGCTTCTATGGTTTTATTCCAGACAGACCTCATAATATTGGATATAGCTCTTAAAATCATTGAATTTGGATACTGGTGGGAGAATTGGCACAAAGTGCTTTCCAGCTTTCAGGGGATGTAAAGAAATACTTGAAAATATGAGCTGTATGGACAGTAAAGACTCAGGAATAAATACCTTCCTCAGAATGTATTTACAAAAACAAATTGCATGATAGTCTGTTTGGACAGAATAGGTGATCAATACTACACTCATCATGAGCCCAATACACATTCCAAATAATGAGAAATAAAATAGAGATTATTTCCTAAGTGATAATTGCAGGTTTAGTTTCTCTGAGAACATGTGGTGATGATCAGCACACCTCCATAACAGAACTGGTTTCAAAACACAGGCTTGTGTTGAATCTGCCTGTGGAAAGGAGGTTTGATTCTTTACTCTTTTTCTATAGCAGATGGTGTAGGTTTTGTTTCACAGTGCCCCTTCTCTCTAATGTTTACATCCACTGAGCTTATGAGCTAGGTTACAGTACTTGGCATAGTCAGTCAACAATTATCTGCTTCTGTTCTTAACATTCAAATTCACAGATCAGTTTTCATTTTAAAGTATCATACTTTATTTATCACCTAAGAACAATGCAATGTCAGATGACAGAAAATAAACCCCCCCAAACCTTGAAATCTATGTTTTGCCAGGAAATTAAAATTTACCAGAAATAACTTCACATTTATTTGTAGAAAAATAAGTTGGGTTTAGCAAATTTAGCAACTAAGAATAAGATGCTTGATTGTATGCCACAGTCTTATGTACTGTCCCGTCATGGCAAAAAGACATGTGGGGCAGCACTGCACAGAAAGCCACCTGGCAGAGGGATACATCATTGTGTGAGTGAAGCAAACCTTCACTGATGGAAACATCTAACATTGGGAGAAGCTGGGGACACAGTCAGTAATGGTAGTGGTGTTCTTCCAACACGCTGTTGCCCTAGTGGGAGGACCATCCTCCTGACATCACTGGCGCACGCTTCCCTGTTCCTTGGTAGTGGGCTCTTCATCCCTCTACCTCACCATGCTCCTCTTGCATAACAGCTTACTTCCCAGATTGTGTGAAGATCTCTCACACACATGCTGGAAATTGCAATGACTAATGTTCTATGATAAGAACTGTTTTTAGCAGGTTTATTAAGTGGTCAGCTACTGGCCACAAACATCATGGCATTTACAAAAGTTTCTGTGGGATTTTGGTGAGTACACTGTTGGGGGAGGAGAAGCTTTGCAGAACTCACTTGCACATGAAGGATTTATTTTCAGATTTTTATGTTTTTATAGTAAAGGTTTGTTTCAGCTGTTCTGTTGCTGGTTTTGAAGAGTATAGAAAAGCATGATTTTGGATCATTATTTAGCAGTGATTTAAAGGAAAAAAACATGACTGAAGTAGACTAGGAAATGAAATCTAGTGATGTTTTTTAAAAGCTGCCTAACTATTCTCATGAAATATCACAGCATCTGTGCCAGAGTACCCAGGATGTTAATCATCATGGTCTGTTTTTATAGGATTTGTCACAAAGCAAAAGAGTAATCAAACACGATAAGCAAAAATTGTCACTCTTTATTTCAAATACAAACATATAACATACCCATGTATTTGTTTTCACAGACTTCCTTATATCATCACTATTCAACAGACAGAGGCCTGGACAGGCCCTCTAGGTAAGAAATACTCTCTATGATTTCAACAGACACAGATTATGCAGTGTGAGGATCTTCTTTGGGACCTGAAATCAGCAAACGTTGCAAAGAGTCGGATTTTAACATTCACCTTGTGAGCTTCTGTCAAACTAGAGAGATGCATGGAGAGAGTGTTCATATTTTGACGCTTATGTGTGATTTTGTTTTAGTTTTACAAGGACTTACTGTTTACATTCAGACTAAGCCATACTGTGTCCTGGGTCTTTCCACTAACATCCCTGAGCTTCTGTCTCAGTGACAGTGATTTACCATTTAACACTACCACATGCAGCACCTTCAGTGCTGTTTCCCTAAGTATGCTGCCTCAACTGGTCTTGGTCTCTGTCTTTTTCCTATCTTTGTACTGAAATTCTAGTACCAAAAAGCAGTCTAAAAAAAATTTAGGCATTTATTTCAAAGAAAATGGCATAGCAATTTTGTCTAAAACTTTCAAACAAGTTGGATAATGTTTTTGTATAAAACTTTCAAAAATCAAGTGAAGAACAAATTCACCTTGTCTGTGTGAAGTGTGAGACCAGTGCTTCTTCCCTTTGCGTGTTTCTGATGTATTTGGTCTGGCATTTTTAAATCTATAAACCAATAATATAATTATGAGCTTAATTTTTAAGTTCCTGAATTCTGATCTCAGAATTAGACTGCTGCTAATACTGGTTTTTTTCTGTAGTTGTGCAAGTACTGCGAGTGACTACAGAAAGCGAAGGAAGTCAGAACCTGCTGTAAGTCATCAGAGGGCACACAGTGATCAGAATGCAAACAGACCTAACCTGGGCCGTACAGATACTCAAGCCCCATGTACCACCCTTAGAAAGCCTTTAACTAGCTCATCTCCTTCTTCTCCATCAAGAGCAAAAGGTAAGAGGAGACCATATTTGTTAGCAGAAAACTACTGGTGTGTTGTACAATATGTGTTGCAGTCGCAGTTGCAGTACATGTAGGTAGTACATACAAATGCTTACTGCTGCTCGGCATTTCAGTGGGAGATATGCTCTCTGAAACAACAGCCTTGGGCCTTTCAGGAAAGGCTAACTTGTTTGTTCTTATGTGTGTAACTTTAAGCTGAAAGGCTGGATTTGTAACAAGGATTTTCCAGTTTCAATTGCTTATTCTAACAGAAAATTGACTAATGAAGACTATGAATTCTACCACAACATAAGAATCCATATTAATTCCACTACTCTCTTATTACATTATAGTGATTTTAAAACTTGCTTTAGTATATTGAGAAAGTAAATCAAGACACATAACATATAACATAACACTGCATTTCTGGGACAGTAGACCTTTCAAATCTATAGCTAACGTCTTCAACAGTGTCAGTTACCAGGACCTAATGTAATCAAGCAAACATTCCTAGTCTGATTTTTTTAGTTTGTAAACACTTGAAGTATTTACTACAGCTGGTACAATCTAATAAGTTTCTTTTTCCCAAGTAACTCACCATTCTATATCTGTTTTCCCACATCTCTCCAGACAGGAGGTCACAGAATCAGTTGTTCATTTGGGTTTAAAGGTTTGGGTAGGTTTTCTTAGAAAGACAAAAGGTTTCCAGTAAAACATATATAGAGAGAGGGTAATGCTGTATATGATATGTCCTTTTCTGTCTAAGTTATTATTATTCACTTATTTGCTGTATTTCTTAGCTATACTAATCAGTATAGTTTACTCTGTAAAAGTAAATTCCCACTTAAAAGAACATAATATCCAGATGCAACAGAACACAACAGACAAAGAAAAGCAGTGAACAATGTTAAAAGTGAAGTGGTGGAAAAGCAAATGTATTTTAAACCCAGTGTTATAGTGGTAATTTTAAAAGTGGGTAAACTCATCCATTTGGTGTGCCAGGCCAGGCAATGAAAAGTTGATAAACTCCATTTACCCACATGTACCTTTGACTCCACCACCAGTAACAAGCACTTACCAGGACTTAAGCACTGTCCTCTGTTTGAAAATTCTTCCCTTAAAAGCATCTACCACAGCTAATTAACTTTTGGAAGCAGACCTAGCTGTGTCACTTCCTTCTATCAGCATTGTAACACCTGTAGCATATTAATTTTTCTTCAAATTAACCGTTTTGTTAAAGAGGAAGCACAAGTTGTTTGATCCCTGTGGATTTTGAACTCAAGTGTTTCAGTTTCTGATCCAGAGTCGACTTTTTTTTAGAAAGCAGATTGAGCTGTTTGAATCATCTGTCCTGAACTGAATGTTGCCACTTGAGACCATTTTTGAAAGTTCAGTGCACTTATGAAAGACAACAGTTCCAAATTTGTTCTATAGTGACATCTTGATCAAGCATGCACATAAAAATGTCTTAAAACTTGCTTGAAAACTCAGGCTTTGTTGTGGAAGTCAATCTAAGGGTTATTGTTTCTTCTACATGCTGGTTAGGCTCAGTAAACTGATCCATCTTTACATCCCTATAGCAGTTTGTCAGACACCTTATTCTGCCCTCCATAAGCTGTAGAAAACACCACTCCCTTCAGTGCTATCACACAGCAAAAGAGCAGGCTACCTATGAACAACTGGAGAAATTTCCCATTTGATCTTATATAAAAATTTGTCTTTATCTTAATTATCTTAAAATGTGCTTCTCTCTGAGCATTATACAGCTTAAAAATGCTTCACAGAACAGCTTCTTTCGGAATGCACAGGTGGAAAAGTCAATCTGTGGCTGAGGTCTAGATTTTTTGTTTGGCTTTATCTTTAAATCCTTTGCAGCCTTTATTGTCTGTTAACTTGCTTCAAAATAAAAATTAATGCTTGTTTTCTTATGTGGCTTTGTGGGAGGTGGGGTGTGGAGGGGGTAAGATCTCCAGAATCCATAAGGAATTCTTTTTGTTGTTCAAATTATCATGAGTGCACTTTTACAGCTTAATTATTAGCTCTGCTGTTCCAAGCTGTAGCAGCCTGTGTACTGACCTAAACTGATAGATGCACTAATTGCTGTCTCTTTTCTAGTCTTTCTAATACTTACTGATGCTAATTCCAACTTTCTGAGTCTTTTAATTTCTGGCAATGTCTCTTTTTTACCATGCTGCTCTTTGGATTATAAAGGTGGGGATATTAGCAAAGTATATCCATCCCTTATAAATTATTCAGTGCACAACCACAACACCTCAAATGAATTAGATTACTGTAGCACTTACAGGCAACATTTAGCTGTTCCAAGTGATTCAAGAAGGGCAATCAGCTACAAAAATGGCTGGCAAATGACTCGTCAAAATGCAGAAGTCTGGAGCAGCACAGAGGAAACTGCTTCTCCAAAGAGAAAATCTCGTAGCTGTGATGATCTGCTAACAGATGATCATGATAGCTTTCCTGATGCACAGGCCAAGGCTGAAAGCATGGGCTCTCTGTTGTGTGAGGAGGACTCCAAAGATGTTTCCTCAATGAACTGGACCTCCCCATATGCTGAGGGCCGTGGTAGTGGTAGGTCAAGAGTTCGTCACAGATCTGCCCATGATGCTCCAGGTTTCCTAAAAATGTACAAAAAGATGCACCGCATCAACCGCAAGGACTTGATGAATTCTGAGGTGATCTGTTCTGTAAAGTCCAGAATACTGCAGTATGAAAAAGAACAGCACAAAGGTATTCTTCAAGGCTGGAGAGAGTCTTCTACTGAGGAGGTGCCCAGAGACATGGTGCCAACCAGAATATCTGAATTTGAAAAATTAATTCAGAAGTCAAAATCTATGCCGAACCTTGGTGACGAAATGTTGTCAACTGTTACGCTAGAGCCTCCTAAAAATGGCTTGTGTCCAAAGAGGAGATTCTCTATTGAATCCTTGCTGGAAGAAGAAACTCCAGTTAGACATCCCTCTCAGGTACAAAGAAGCTACAAGTCTAAAACCGTGGTGCCAATTCATATTGAAGTGACCAGTGATGAGCCACAACGATCACATATAGATTTTTCAGACAGTGATCAAGATGGAGTGGTTTCTGACCTCAGTGACTTTATCCAGATAGAGGGTTCATCCTTTTGTAGTGAAAGTGACTTTGACCACTTTTCCTTCACATCATCTGAAAGCTTTTATGGATCAGGCCATCACCACCACCACCATCACCACCACCACCGGCATCTCATCAGCTCCTGCAAAGGGCGATGCCCAGCATCTTACACCCGCTTCACCACCATGTTAAAACATGAAAGGGCTAAGCAAGAAACCACTGAAGATCCAAGGAGACAGGAAGCAGAATCTGGCCTCTCTAAGATAGCATTCCTAGTCAGCCCAGTGCCTTTCCGGAGGAAAAAAAGTGCAGCTCCTAAAAAACAAACTGAAAAGAAAAAAAGCAAGTCATCTGTATTTGAAGCACTAGATTCTGCACTTAAAGACATCTGTGACCAAATTAAAGCTGAAAAAAGAAGGGGAAGCTTGCCCGATAACAGTATATTACACAGACTTATTACTGAGCTGCTTCCAGACATTCCAGAAAGGAATTCATCTCTTAGAGCTCTGAAAAAGAGTCCCATGCACCAGCCTTTTCATCCACTGCCTCAAGATGGTGCTATCCATTATCCACTGTACCAGAATGATTGTGGAAGATTACCTCTTAGTGCCTCTTTTCCAGACATGGATGCAACTAACAACAATGATAGTGCACTGTGTTTCCAAGGTGGATTAAGTTTCTTCTTCTATCCTCGTGATTGTCTTATCCAGCCTTACTCCCTGTGTTTCCCACCCTTTCTCATTCCATTTTCGTGTTGTCTATAAGAAGCTTTCATCCCACAAAATTCTTAAGGAAGGATGCCAATTGCATATAGTTGTTTAGGATAGATAAATTTGCTGTCTATTCACAAAATAAAGTAGTAAGGACAACGGAATTAATGTTATATTTCAACTCATTGATTGTTCTATAAATTACATTTACGTTATTAAATTAAGCAATGTGGGGTTATTTCCTCAGACCTTACAGAAAGAGAATTCATGCATCATAAGATGCTGGTCAAACAGAAAACAATATGTAGATAACACTTCATTTATTATTTAAGAAAAATTAAAGTCTGCATCTAAAATGCACTGTACTATGTAATTTTATTACATTTAAGTGATTAAACTGCTGTTAATTCTGCCAGTATCATAGACAATTGATTCCGTTTTCTTACGAATCCACTGCTTTATATTACTCTTTGTGAATAGATGTTAAGGGCATTTTAGGAAATTTCCATTTCCACTGTTCAAACAATACAATTTCCAATTTCTGTGGCAGCAAAACTAGTTCTTTTTGTAGAATTTTAATATATATGTAAAGTTTTGAGAAATTTCCTATCCTCTTAGAAGGGAAGTTATCAATAACCAACACATGAATGAAATTGTCAGGGTGAGTATGACCGATCTGATTTTAAAGCTACTGGTTTGAATTGTTTGTTGCTCTGCTTCTTTTTTTCTCAAAAAAAATTGCTTGACCTTAATATGTTTTTTAAGTTTAAATTTTTAATACCGAAAGTAACAAACTAGATCCATAGCAGGACTACACAAAGCTGTATCCCATATGATTTAATTTAATGTCTTTGGCAAGTCTGTAATTTATTTCTCTCTTTAAATGATACCATTTCTTTGTGAAAGAATTCTGCTGCTAAACATACAGTCCTCTGTGACAGAGCATCTTGGAGAATTTAATGACATCACAAAGCTATTCTTGAAACTACAAATGGATGTAAGAGAGAATGTCCTTAGTATAGCAATTATGCAATGTTTGATCAGACTCATCTTATCGTTAACCTCACATCTTTTTGTGCAACTTTTGCACGTGCCACACTAGTAAATATGTATTTCAAGAGAAATCAGAATTGAAGCTGTTGCCAGCTCTTCTTAACTTGAATTAATCCTACTTGAGGCCTGATCATGATTAACCCTGGCAGACAGCACTGCATGATGAGACTGTAGTTCTTGGAAATTGCACTGGTCACATATTATAGTTGCTAAATGCGAATTTTCCAGTCCTTGAAAACAAGGAAATCTGTAGTGCAAATTAAATGTGGATGTCTAATAGCTTCTGCAGCTTTGAAGGAGCCTGGCTTGAGGAAAGTGGTACACTCTGTCAACATTAATATCCCTAAAGTAGTGTGGAGAATGACTAGAGCAGAATATTCCCTTTATTTCCATCAGCACCAGTCATAGCTGAGCTCTACTTTTAAAGAAGTTTTGTTGGATCTGTGAGTGTCTCTTACAGCCACAATCCACACAGAGACCCCAAGGTCATAGCAAAGAAACACTGAAAACTACCAATATTGACAGCGTAAGGAGCTGTACAGAAAGAGGAAATTGTCCTTCCTAAAGCTTGTGGGTTTTCACTCCTTTCCCATGTCCTTCTCTTTCTGTTGAAGACTGAAGTGGAAAATAATATATGTGTTTGGAGGTATTATATCTTTAGGTTTCTGCAAGTGAGCATTCAAGAACACATGCCATATCAAGAAAGCTGTCCAGAACAGGAACTGTGATGTACTTGTTGGGATGACATGCTTGCAGCCAATGACATAAATAATACATTTAACTCATCTTTTTGTCTTCACGGTCGGTATTCATCACTAGCCTCAAGTTTTTCTGGCTTAGCCAACAGGCCACTGGAGACCATTTACAGCTCCCTTATGTGAGACCCCAACATAATGGATGAGATGCTTTTGGTTCCTTTTTCTTTTTCACTTGTACTCCTTTAGAAATGTATGGGCATGCTAAGAACAGATTGTGTGAATGAAGTCAAAGGAGGACAAACATGAATCATGTTTCCATTAGCAAGAATCACTGTGGTAGTACGAGACTAAAACAGTACTTTTCAGAAGTTGAGAGGCAGTTCTGAAATAGTTCTGTTTTCATTTCACATTGGCAATGTGCAGAGCTATAGAGAGAATGAGGCTTTTTATTTTATTCTTATTAAAACATGAAAAGATAATTCATCATCCTGTAATTAACTTTGGTAAACTGTGCTTTGAGAAGTCTGCCACATAGATTGGTGAGTAATGATTTGTATTCCATCTCTTAGAGTTGTTTTTATGAAATAACATCCTTTTAAATTCCCTTGTGCTGCCTAACATGTGCCCCTGGTAAAGTAGAAATGCATCTTAGATCACTTAGGAGGAAACAGTGTTTCTTCACTATTTACTCATTGAAGCATGCTTGAATCATACTTTGTGCATGTAATTATGTGTTTATAGTGTTGGCATTTACAAAACACTGTCATGCAACCTGATGAAATCCCAGTGCTGCTGTCATGTCTTCCATTTGGCCCAGCAGGGATGCATTCCTTTGTACTTTGAGGCATAATTTTGCTCTCTTGATCCTCTTATCATGTGTTTTCTTCTGCTGTGGATCAGAGGACAGCTGTTGCCTTTGCATAAGAGTTAGCGTCTTTTTTTTTTCTGTAAAGGTGCACTTAACCATCATATCATGTGCTTTTCTTTCTGTTAAAGGTAAAATAATAGATTTCAATATCTTTTCACCCCGCTAAATGAAACCAGTCAGCATCACGGATTTGTATGGGTTTGTTTATTGGAGTTTCACATAATTTCTGTTTTCAGTAGACCAGGAGTCTCCTGGAAGCTATTCTTCTGCTTTCACTGATATGGGACGATGTACTCCAAGGGAGAGAAGAGGAACTACAGACAAAGAGGTAGTGAAACAACAATAAATAACGCAACAATATCCATATGGAAAATCGGTAACATATCTGGGACAAAATTTGTGTTGGTTTCAAGACACTATGATGATACATCCCAAAGGAACAGTTACTTATCATATCATCAGATGGGACAGCATCCTCATTTTTCATTAAGGAGATTGATACTTCAAGGAATTAAAATAATATCAAGCTTTATAAGATAAGCTATATCTTCTATTTATTCTTAAATAGATCTGAACATCAGTTTACTAGTCATTGATATGCTCTGTCAGAGTTGATTGGAGTGGGTGATTGGAACCGAGAAGAAGAGCAGGTTTGAGTGGGGAAGGGTTGTATTGAGACCCAGAGCATTACACAAAGAAACTGCCTTGGTAGTTTCAAAACTGATATTCATCCTAGAACACATGGCACAGGATTGTGTCCAGACAGTTCTTGAATACCTCCAGTGAGGGAGAATCCACAACCTCTCTGGGCAAACTGTTCCAGTGCACAGTGGCTCAACAGTAAAGAAGTTCTTCCTTGTATTCAGGTGGAACTTCCTGGGCAGCAGATTTGGCCTGTTACCTCTTGTTTTATTGGTTTCCACAACTGAGAAGTCTGGCTCCATCATCTTGCCACTTCTCACTTATGTACTTAAATATGTTCATGAGGTCCCCTCTCAGTCATCTCTTCTCAAGACTGAACAGTGGACAATGTCCACTGCTCTCCCTTCATCCATCCGGGTGGTTGTTTTGTCATAGAAGGCAATCAGGTTGGTCAAACATGATGTACCTTTAGTGAACCCGTGCTGACTACTCCTGATCACCTTCTTGTCTTCTTGTATGAGTATTACAAAGTGCAAGTTGACAGGATCCCTGTAAGAACTTCAGGGACTTATTTATTGTAGCGAAGACAATGCTCTAGGTATGCTAAATTTGCTAGCCTTTAAAGGACAAAGGGAGATAACCCAGTCAAGAACACCTGACCTGGAATAAAGGTAAAATGCAAAATTCACATTGCCCCTTTTTATTCCTCTTATAAAAAGATGCACACCCTTACATTGTTACAAATAGTATCTCTCAGAAATAGCATAATCAGCTCATTCTAGTCCCTGGTATATCCTAGAGAGAAATTTTTTTAAATATAGCAATCTTATCTGTGCAAGTACTTGCAGAAAAGGACTAAATCACTTTGCCAAATACCGTCATATAATACTGCTTACTGCTTCTGGCTCTTGGGTTGGATTACAGTTTGTGTTTTCAGCACAAGCTCTGAAGACAGAAAAAGTGTGTCAGCCATGCAGGTGACGAGAGGTAGGGCTGGTTTACAGGTCTATTTCTGAAACAATATTGAGCTTACATGTACTTGGTGATAGAACTTTGTAAATATATGAAAGGAATGGTATAATGTGATTGCCTGTGATAGCAAGAGAGCTGCAGAGATGACCCAGATCACCTCCAATCCTGTGTTTCTCAGACTTTCTTAAAACTGTGAATGTGATTATAGAAATGTAAAATGCTCCCAACAATTTCCAGCTGTCAGAGTAATTACTCCTTTACATATATATATAAAAGTAATTCAGTATTTGCAATTTTAATTAGCCTTAAGATATTGAGTTTAACAGAAAAAAAGCATCTAAAATACTACAGAATATTAAGTATGTGAATTTACATTGTATCTAGAGATCTAGTTGCATACAAGTCACATTGACATAGTTAACTTTTATTTTTTACTTTGGTAGTTCTCTTAAACATATTACAAAGCAGACTGTATGAAAATTTAGCTGCTATTTCGATTTGTAGAAATCTAAGTCCCAAACACCTAACTTCTGTAAAGAAGAAAGCTGTACTAGCCTGTTTCTGCAAGCACCACTGTAAAGCACATCCTCTTCCTTTTTGGATCTTGGTCACCTTTATAAAAGTTGAAACATGTTTATCATATAGTAATACTACCTGATTGTATTAATCACTTTGCCTACTTTTCAGAAACTGCCAGCTAGAGCTGTATATGACTTTAAAGCTCAGACTGCTAAGTAAGTACTGGACTTTTGTTCATTTTTCAAGCAAACTCTTTGTAGCACTTGTAGCAGATAACTGCTGTTTGAGCCAGTTTCAACAGCAAATACCATAGAAGCAGAGGACCCTGCTTGCTGTCACAGTAGTCTCTGCATTAGCAAACTATGGGAGAAGTTATTTTGTAATAAAAATAGCTTAAATTAGCATATTCTCCGTCATATATGTTCAAATTCGTGAATGGCTGTGCATCTTCAGCCTTGCAGAGCATGTGTCCTGAGGGTCACCCACTGAATGCTCTTCATTTGTTGTGAATTGTGTTTAGGTTACACAGGGTAAAGTGTTTCAAATACTGTCATAGATAATAGGCTTACCAAAATTCTGTACAATGCATCACCACCTTCTTGTCTGTCAGCATGCACAGGATCTCTGCAGGATGTGACATGTCCCATACCAAGACAAACAACAACAGTTCATAAGGAAAATAAAATCAGGAACCACTGATTTAGGATACGAAAGAGTTGAAGTAGAGTGCCTGTTGCATTCC